CTCCTGAAGGATGTGTTACTACTCTGGTCTGCACCTTTTAGGAGATGCTACTATCCTGAAGTGTGAGATCTGAAAGTCCCTCTCGACTTGAGTGACCACAGGTCTCCTCCACCCTTAGTCACGGACCCAGCCTTTCTCCTTCAAAATCCAGCCACACAGACAAGTGTTTGACCCTGCAGCAGTGGCTTGCTTGTCTTGGAGGTGAAATGAAATCTTCATGGTCTACGGGATGCTGAGGGTGAAACAAGATCCTATTTCTAGCCACCTTCTTCCCTCGGAGATGCCAAAGTGCTGGAGCTGCATCCGGCCAGGTAAGACTATGCCTTCTTTCTGAAATGGTGATTATAAACTGTGGGCAACAGCCACCCCAAGGTGGCAGGAGTTGGTGGGAATCAAAGGGGAGGAAAGAAGAGCTTTCTGTTTTTAAATGCTGATTTGGGGGTCTTGGGTATTGCCTACCCAAATGAGCAGTAAACACCTACAGGAGGAGCTTTGAAACTGTGAATGTCGTTGACCCCGCAAACGACTTTGCTAGAGTAAGGTGTGTCTTCCAGGCTGAGATGAAGCAGGAATCCAGGAAGTGGCCCAGAAGCAGAAGGTGGGTGATGTGAAGGGGGCAGAGGGATGGGGCCCACAGGGAGTGGACAGAAACAGAAAGAGGGGGTGAGGCACAGACAAAACATAAGAAGTAGGAGAGAGCAGCTTCCTGTCTCCAAGATGACAGCTGTAAAAATTCAAGAGTGTGACAGAGCCTCCTGGCTCATCACTCAGCCTTTTCCCTTGACTTCCTGGGGATACAGCTGGACCACATTTCCCAACCTCCTTTACAGATAGATGTGGTCATGTGACTGACTTGTGGCCAATGGGACAAGAACAGCATGCTCCTGGAAAGCCTCCCATGTGTGACTCTTTCTCTCTTTCCCTGTCTGCCAGCTCAAGGTCAAAGTCCAAGGTGGGGAGCTCCATGAGGAAAATGGCCAAGCTGCTGTCAGCCTGGGTCCTTGAATGACTGGGTTGAGCAGATGGCCCCATTCACCTCGTGCCCTCACCACAATCTAGAAACACCTACTTTGTACTGTGACAATATGTACCTTTATTGTATTAAGTCAGTAAAGTTTGAGGGGTTAGGTAATTAGGTTTATTTATTTATTTTTTAACAGAGGTACTGCGGATCGAACCCAGGACCTTGTGCATACTGAGAACACACTCTACCACTGATCTATACCCTCCCCACCCCAAGAATCTCTTAAAATTGCTGTAAGTGCTAAGGGATCATGATCATGATAAGATTGCCAGCCATGTGTGCAGTTAGGGACATGGTTACCCAAGAAGGAAGCAAGCATAGGAAATATCCTTATCTCTGGTTCCACAGTTGAGTATGTTGAGGCTTAAAGAGATACAGTAACTTGCACAGGCTGGCACACCTGGCAAGTCCTTTGTCAGGACTCAGACCCACATTTCCTGTGCACAAGGCAAGCTGGAAGTTGCCTGGGAGTTTAGGCCAAGGGACTCCAGCAGCCTGCAGGCAGCCCTTGGACGAAGATGCAGAGGCTGCCTTTTGGGAAGTGAGAAAAGAAAAAGGATCTGCGGCAATGTGGATGGAGTTCTGACATGGTCTCTAACGGGATCTGTAAGAGGGCCCTTCCCTTCACAATACTCTTTAGACCTTCTGGAAATGTGGCCTGCATTTTGGGCGGGATGACTAAGGTGCTAAGTCTACACTGGCTCCCAGAATTCCCCAGTGGGCTGAATCTCCAGTTGCCCATAGCGGCCTCTGGTTTGGTAATAAATCCTTTATAGCTGCCTTCCCTTCCCTGCCTTACTTTCACTAGGAAACAAGGTTAGGTCCTGCAGGGATTTCTTTCCTGGTCAGATTGTTCATAGGAAGGCTTGGTTTTCTGAGTTTCCATAATTCTGCAAACCAAGACTTGCTCCCCTCCAGCAAGTGAGAAACAGTTCCCCCTGATTTCTGGCAGAGGGCAGCATTGAGTTTTCTACCGCAGGGAGATCCTTTCCTGGGCTTGCAAATGACTCCAGCTCAAAATAAAGAACAACAAATTGAAATGAGGATTTTAATCGCTGTGAAGGGGATGAAAGGCTGTGTCAGCGTTTCCATGGTACGTGCCTTCTTTCGCGGATTTATCAGCCCAGCTGTAAAAATATGCTTTATGCTAGGATTTGGCAAGAGCAAGGCTGCAGTCCCTGAAAATCTATCTATTATTAAAGATTCTGCTTTCAACCAAGTTGGAAACATGACTCTGTGAAAATGGTCCAGAGTGCCTCTCTGCCCCTCGGGGCAGCCCACTCTGCCCACTGTGTTCCCTGCCAAATCTACTCGGCACCCCCTCAGGGAAGCGGCAGAGGCGCAGTCCCTGGACCTCTCTGGAGGCGGCTTGGCATTCTGGAACGGTTACATAGAGGAAGATGCCTGGTTCTTCGTGGAGGCAAAGGGTTGGGCCTTGTGGGGCCCCGACTGTGTGGCTGGAGGTGGCTCTCCTCTGAGCACTGGCTCACTTGTTCCCTCTCCCACGGCCCACCAAGGGGGAAGGGGGGCGACAACCACACAGTACGTTCAGCCCCTCGCCTTGTGATGTAGAGACCCCTCTGATGATGTCACAGGTGGACGACTCCCAGGCTGAGTTGACTGGAAACCTTAGACTCGTTCAGATTTGAGCTCTTGAAAGGAATAAAGATCACGTTATCAGCCAAAGAGGCGGCAATGTGGCCAGAACAGGACCCAGTCTGAACCTTTGTCACAATCACATCAACGTCTGCTTGGCTTCAAACAGGACCAAATTTACAGAAACTTTGATGTGCTCTTTATTTGAAACAGAGTGCTGGGGGTGGGTGGGGGGCTTTTTATAATAAAAGAGGAAGGAGCAGAACGGCAACTTTCGTGAGTCCTTAGTATGTGCCAGGGTGTTTATCAGGTCCTAGGTATTAGCAGTCAAATCTTCCCCCAACACAGTGGTAGGTACTGTTACTCACATTTAAAAGATGAACGAATCAACATTCAGAGGTTGGGGAACGTGCCTTCACAGAGGTCTCTTGGAGAGCAGGTGGCGGAGTGGACACGTGAAGCCAGGTCTTCCTGATTCCAATCAGGTCTGAATTTTCTTCCCTGGACATAGTCCAGAAGCAGCGCTTTGGGGTTCCACCAGCCCACCTCCTCATCCTCCCCTGGGTGGTAGGCAACCTGGCCCTGTGCTTGGTATGCCAGAGCCTAGCAGACTTCCTGCTACTGGGACAGGTGACAGCTGCGGAGGGCAGGACTCGGAGCAACGGCTCAACTCTAATGGGGCAGGTTCATTTTTAATGCTAGCCTTTTTGAGTGCTTGCTGTCTACCAGGCACAGTTGGCAGGGCTGTGTATAGGTTATATCTGTCATCTCATTCACTCGCTCTCCAGCAAACTGCCTGCAGGGAGGGACTAATATTGTCTCCATTTTACAGATGCAGAAAACAAGGAACAGAGAGATCCAATACTTTGTCCAAGGTCACCTGCAAGCCTGCTGGGGATGAAGAGGGGATTCCAGCCCAGGCAGCTTGACTCACAAGACCAAACCAGGGAATTCTGCCTAGGGGAGGGTGAGTTTCCCCAGGCTCGGAGCAGTCAAGCAAAATCTGCATGTTCACTGGTAACCTAATCACAAGTGGCTGGACTGGACAGAATTTCAAGCCAGCTGGTCCCCAGCTCTTTCCCCTCCATGGGCCCTGTGCTCAAGTGAGCCAATGCTCAGAGGAGAGCTACCTCCAGCCGCACGTTTCCCAATGGCTGCTCTGGCCTTAACTTGCTCCCAATCTTCCGCTGCTCTCCAGTCCGGCCCTAGCAGGATTCGCTGCCCTACCCACAGTGCTGGGGCTCTAAGAGCTCTCTGGGAACCTTATCATTTACTCTTTCTAGAGCATCTTGCGTCATTTAACCTATACTATGGAGGAGTTTTAGAAACCAGCTGGTGTTGGTTTCTGCTTCCCCTCTCCTAGCTGTGTGACCTTGAACATGTTACCCAGTCTTTCTGTGCCTCACTTCCTGTGAGCTGAGCATAAACACAGGATTCCTGGCATCTGAGCCTGGACTGGCATGTGGCTATGGTGAAGGCTCAGCCTGCCTACCTGGAGCAGGTTTGCTGGGGATTTCTGATTAATAAGTTGTCAAATAGGAAGAGGAGTCAGGAGACCAACCTCCCAGCTGAGGGTGAAATGACATTTCTGGAAGTTGGCTCAGAGTAGGGACCAGATATTTTCTTCTATAGAAATTTACACCTGACCGCGCTCAGAAGGAGGAATCGTCTCATAGAGATTCAGTCTGCAGCTGGAGGCAGGGGACCAGGACTCATCCTTCCAATGAAAATAACCCCAAGGATGTACAGGGATTTTCACTGTTTCTAAGTAACGGTGACTCTTCACAGAAGCCTTCACAGAGAGGCAGGTAGGAAGGCGGCTTCTCTCTTTGGAGTTAGAGGTACCAAGCTAGGAAGTGATTTATCTGAGAGCGTGAAATGCCAATGATCAAGAAAGGGAGTGCTTTTCCAAGCACCCGATTGAATCCACAATTCTTTGATGCTGACAAACCACTTATTTGAAACAATGCTGACTCACAGCATTTATCAAGCACCTTTTATGGGCTGGGCTCTGGAGAAGGTGCTTTGTACAGTTTATCCTCATAGTATTCTTAAATGCTGGTACCATTATCATGCCCATTTTACTAATGAGAAAACTGAGGTTCAGAGAGGTTCCCTAACCCACTCAGGTTACACAACTGGCAAGTGAAGGAACTGTGATTATAACCTGGTTCTCTTTCTCTCTCTGCCAAAGCCAGTGCCTTCCCTCTGTTCTGCTCCTCAGTCCATCGAGCACTTTTAACTGTGTATCGACAACCTCAAATAATGTTCCCACTCTTTGATCCAACTAATCCGCTTCTGACAACCATGCTCAAGAAATAATTCTAAGTGCAGAATAAGCACCTTACAGTTCGTCGTGGCGAATTACACACTGATGTGTACCCCTCTTCTTCCCTAAATCCCACTGAAATGACGGAAGAAATAAAAAGGGTGCTTATTGTGGACAGTCAGGAGGAATGGGATCAATGTCCAGAAGATTAAGGAATTTCCAGGAAATATAAGACAAATAGAAGAGCAGATTGGTGAAGAAGTTAAAATGAAGCTGTAGCGGGGAGGGTAGAGCTCATTGGTAGAGCTGCTGCTTAGCATGCGCAAGGTCCTAGGTTCAGGCCCCAGTACCTCTACTGAATAAAAGAAGACGCTATTGTTTTCTAAGTCACATTATATGAAGTATAGCATCCAGCACTGCTGTGTCTTTCTTATAGCAGCTCCAGAGGAGAGCACACAGGATGGATAGAAGGAAATAAAAGGATAGGGTAGGACGCCTGTCCTCATCCTAGTCTCCTACTTTCCCTCCTCCTTTCTCACATGAAGCAGTTCCCCTTTTAAGTTCTGCACCCTAGAGAAAAACAGTTGACCCTTGAACGCGCTAGGGTTACAGGCCCTGATCTGCCCACAGTCAAAAAGTACTCGCCATCCCTCCATATCTGCGGTTCCGCGTCTACGGATTCAACCAACCTGAGATAGTGTCTATGGGAAAAAAATCCACGTATAAGTGGACTCACGCAGTTTAAATCTGTGTTGTTCAAGGGTTAGCTATGCTCACCTGGGTACACAAACATGTTTATTGCAACTTTGTTTGCAAATGTGAAAATTAGAAACACCCCGAATGGTTATCAATAGGGGAACAGTCCAGTAAATACTATGAAATTCCGTGGCCTGGTTGCAGACAATGAGCTACTGACACGCTAGTGTGAAAAGATCTCTAAAACGTGTTAAGTGGAGAAGAATATTCCATAACAATACGTATAATGTGCTACATAAAAAAACCAACCCACAAACAAAATCTGTATTTCCATAGGTACTTAGACATGTGACTAAATGAGCAGAAAGACACAGGAGTCTGGGGAAGAAAAGCATGAAACTCCTCTCCAGAGAATCCCCAGTGAGCTGCGGAGAGGTATGGCGGTCTTCATGGCGAAGGAAGCCAGGGCAATGAAATACGAGTTGTTACCATTAATGTGAACTCATTGTACCCACTAAGTGGTGGAATCTGGTTATTTTTAAAAAGGTGGTTGCAGGTCTTTCTGTATTTCAGGACTGTTCTGCCCAACACAGTCACCACTAGCCACATGTGGTTACCGAGCGTGTGAAAAGTGGTGAGTCTGAATGGAGATGTTCTACACGTGCAAACTGCACACCGGATAGAAAGCATCTTGTGAAATACCAGAATTAAAATATCTCATTTATAGTTTTGTATGGAGTAAATGTGGAAATGATAATATTTTGGATCTTTTGGGTTAGATAGAGCATATTAATCTCACCTGTCTAATTTTTTTTTAATGTAGGCACTGGAAAATTTACCATTTTATAGAAGGTTCATATTCTATTTCTGTTGGCTGGCACTGATTCAGTGGGAATCAGCTACAGAGAGAAAACAGCCCTTTGGTTTCAGAGACCAAGTCCTTGGACCCAGACCTGGGGGAGATTTTGAGGCAAATGGGAGCTCAGTTGCTTTGTATGAGAAAGGAGGAGGGAAAGTAAGAGACTAGGAGGAGGACAGATGAGGGTGGCCTGGGGCTGGGTCTCCGGGGAGAGAAGTGAAGAAAGGGTGGGAGGGAGGCCCAGGAACACGGCAGTAGCTGGAGACAAGGGAGACAGATGGCTGAGAAAGGACTCCCTGATTCCCTGGGGCAGGCCAGGCAGTGAGTTTTGCCAGCAGTGAGGTCTGTTCATAAAATTTAAATGGGTTCCTGATCTATGTCGTAATACTCCTCTGCTGTCCCCACACTCCAAGGACAGACTGTGTGGGGCCGAGGCAGCTGTGTCCCTGCTTGGACAGGAGAGAAGAGGAGGAGCAAAGGTGCCAGATGACATGACAGACCCCCAGAAATCCTTGGAAGGACCCCCAGGAGCACGGGGCTGCTGGCAGGGAGGTGCATGCTGGCTGGAGGTGTTCATTCGGTTTTGAAGGGAAGGAGCACCCCAGCAGGCTGGCTGACGCCAGGACCCGAGGCCGCTTTACAGGGGGGGTGTTGTGATACCCTCCGGAGTGCTGGGCAGCAGCTGAGAAGTTTCGTGGCAGTGCTAGCAGGGAAGATGAAGACGTGGATGCAGGCAATGCTAGAATCCACAACCAAATAACATGGAAACCTTTCCAAACAACATGGAAAGGTCTCTAGGATCCGCTGTCAGGTGATGGAGGGAGCAGGGCCCCGTGCGGGCGGGCTGTGTGTTCTCAAGGTGCTTCCTCACCTCCCCCCGAGACACCTGTACCCTCCTCAGCCTGCTTGTGTCTTAGGAGGCTGGCTTGTAGAGTCTGCACACACAGGCCTTCTTGCCCCAGACTTCTGGTAGGGATTGGCCGATGGGGGCCCTGCAGGAGATCCAGAGAGAGGGAGGGCCAGTGTTTAGTCCCTGCCTCCTCTCCTGCTTTGCAGTACGTCGTAGTCCCTCCACCTTGAGGCCTCTCCACAAAGTGCACACTCTTAGTCTCTTTCTGGTTTCCAGCATCTCCTATCCTCATCCCTGAAGGCCTTGGGCCGCCCCATGGTCCCTAGCCCTGGGGAATTGCACATTCCTACTGCTTCCCCCGCCCCCTCCCAACCAACCACACCTTTGTCAACAGTCTTCCGTGAACCCTTCCTGTTACCCAACTTGAGTCCGCCATTTGCTTCCTAAGGAGACCCTGGCCTGTACCAGGAAACACCATATGCTAACTTTTGTGCACTTCAGGGAGAAGGCAGAGTGAAAATACACATTCGAATTTACAGAAAGAAATACTAGAAAGATATATAAGAAACTAGTAAGAGTAGCAGGTAGAGTGGGAGGAGAGAGTGAACCAGGGTGGAGGTGGAGCAAGACTTTTCAGTGTATCTAATTTATATGACTTTGATTTTGAATCCAGGTGAATGATTGTCTATCAGACAGAATTAAATGGGAAAGAATCTTCTCTATCCCAAGGTGGATTATTTGGAGGAACTGTTGACGGAAATGGAAACACACAATGTGAGAGCTGTGAGTTTCAATTTTATCGGGGACTCATCGAGGACTCTGGCCCAGGAGGCGGCCTCTCAGGGAGCTCTCAGAAACTGTTCCGAAGAGCTGAGGGGCGAGGCCAGCGCGCGTGTGATTTTAGAGAAGGGTGCGTGCAACCAAGCACACATCTTGGAAGAAGGCTGCTGCCAGTCACGAGGAACAGACATCTTAGTTAATGATTTTAGTGCTTTTCCAAGTACGAGCAGATGCAAGAACTTAGGTTCATAACATTTTCTCCTGAAAATATGTAACCCACTGAAGGCCCGTTCTGCCAGTTTTCCCAGAGCACAGAGCACCTCGTTCCTGATCTCCACCCTGAACTCCTCTCAGGGCGTGTTAAAGGTCAGTGACAGCAGTGGCTAATGACTCAGTCCTTGTAGAGCCAGATGGCCAGCGACATTCTTTAGTTGGCAGATTTGATTGAATCCTGTGTAGACCTTTGGCCGAGGGAGCTCCCAGTCTTGAGCAGGAAAGGCCACAGCACAGAGGGAAGTGGCCTCTGCTAGCTGGCTCCATCAGGGAGGGCTACAGCCAGGGCCCCGTATGCCTGTCTCCCTCTTCCCCTGTCCTCCTAGGGCTCTGGCCTTGGCCACCAGTGTCCTAGAGGTGGTGCCACGAGGGTTTCCACCAGGAGCGATCACAAAACCAAATTACACCAGTAGAAAACCAGGGGGACCGGTCCTGAAAGCCAGCATCGTGGAGAGATAGCTTCCATTCTGTTCACGCCAACCTTGACAGATGCTGTTTAGTCTGTGGTTTTTGCTACTGGAAGTTTCCAAAAAACCCAAGGAAATCTATCCCTTTGGCTGTGTTGCCACATGAAATGCCCCAGGCATGTGGCCAGTGCTTGGAGAATGTTCTCACTCCCAATCCACCCCCATTTCTAAGTCTGACCCCAGGGCCTCACCCCAGGCGAGAGTGACATGGACGTGGAGCTCAGAACCAGACCCAGAGAGGACCTCAACCTCACGGAAAGAGAACTTTGACCTTTGCCGTTTCCCGTCAGCTTTGTAGAATAATCAGAGGGACCAGCTGGGGAGCAAAGCTGCATTCACCAAGCTTAGTTCTTGTCCCTCGTTAATCCTCCGAGTCACCGTTATGTGGCAGGGAGCAGCCAAGTGGAACTACAGCCTTTTGGCCCCAGCAGTGAGTGATGACCTGCCTGTGTTCTGCATGAGTCATGAGCAGGGTGGGTGGCATCTAAGCTCGGATCTCCAGACCCTGGTGCAGTAGCATCTCTCCTCACCCTCAGCAGCGAGGGATGGGGGAGAGGGCACGTGGGCACCCAGCTCTTAGAGGATGCCCTGTGCATGGCATCCTCCCAGCTTGCTGTGGGAGGCAGGCGTAGCAGACACACAGATTACCCTAGCAGGTACCTAAGCAGCATGACCTATGTTCAGAGATCCTCCTTCCTCTGTGGGCCTGTGGCTGGCCAAATCTGTACCCCTTTTGAGGTTGGGCATAGTTCGTGACAGCACTGCCAAAAGTGAGCCCTGGTCCCAGACATTTGGGAAATACTGAGCGAGGGGCAGCTTGTGCTTCCCTGAAGCATTGTCCCTGGGCCTTGGTCAAATGTCACCTCACTGAAGTGTCAGCCAAGGTCTGTTCGTCAGTTTGGCTGAACCCTGGGCAGGGACCAGGACAGGTCCATTTTACTTGGGTAGGAGGGAGTCACAGAAGCGTCTGTGAAACAGAGGGGCTGTGCATCTCACAGGCAGACCCGAGGGCAGAAGGAGTCCATGGCTGAGGCCGGGGCTGTGGAGAGAGAAAGGGAAAACACTCTTCAAAAGCATCGAGGACACGCTGTGCCCCAGACACACACTCAGCAATGGGCAAAAAGCTTGTCCCCTTACCCCTTTTTCCTTTTACTGCCCCTTGACCCTGTGCCAGGCTCAAGTGCTGGAGAAAGCCATTTTCACATGCTCTCAGTTTCCAGATGGATGCTCAGAGAGGTAAACGGACGGTGTGCATAGCCCGGAAGTGGTTGAGCTGGAATTTGAACCCTGTCTGCCTGAAGCTTTAATGTTCCCACTTTCCAGAACATTTCTGCACATTTACCCACAGATCTGAGCAAGTTGTCGGGAGGGAGAGAGGGAAGAATGAAGGGGACCAGCTCAGAGGCAGAGAGGAAACGGTGAGGTGGAGGCACGGGAAATCCTGGCCACATCCGCAAACGCTGTCAGCACAGAAACAGCTATTTTTTGATGTTGACTGGATGCAGCCCCAACAAAATGGCAAGGACAAAATGCATTTGCTTCTGCAGTTGGCCTTTTAAATACATTTTTCTTCAGCAGTTGGAGCCCTGGTGAACATCTGAATCTTCCTCAATTAAGCCTTTGAAGTGAAGATAATAATTTCAGGTAACAAAACAAATATGCTTCAGGCTTTGTGGCCAGAAGTCTCTCCTGACTTCTGAGACCCCGTCCCTGCTTTTGATAGACTTGCCGGAAGGCGCTCCAGGGAAGAGGGACATCCTGATAAAAATGGCCCAGGAGATGAGGAGGAGGAGGGCAGACCAAGCAGACGCTGATGACCACAAATCCCACCGCACCCACCGGGTCCCTGGATGGTCGGTCACATTTGAATCCTCTGTTCCCTGTGGGCTCCCTCTGCAAGGGGGCCATGGAAGGTTCTGGAGCCAAATCCACTTTGGGATGTAGGACTCCCATATCCCCTCCAGAATTCCATAGGAAAACTTCCCATGCAAATCAAGCTGAAAATGCCCACCAATCGCAATGGCAGTCACTCCCAGCTCTGCCATGCTGGGTGACCTCCAACAAGTTACTTAACTTCCCTGGGCTTCTGTTTTCTGTTCTGGAAGGTGAGTGTGACAATGATATAACCTACCTCCTAGGGTCATAAGGGGAATACACTGTGAGGAGGTATGCAGGGCACTAGGAAAGATCCTGGGGCACAGAGTGCTCTGAGTATGCTGTTTTTACGTGTTCTGGTGAGGCTGTGCAGTTGTAGGGTGAGGGTTGGGGTGGGGAGTTTATTGCACATCTGCTATATGTCAGAGTTTCCATAGGTGACCTTCAGTGCCTTCAGTGATCCCTTAAGAAAGAGGTTATCACCAGAGTTGACAGATAAGGACTCAAAGAGGATAAATAACTTTGCCCAGGGTCATGTAATTTGCGGAGCAGGGGTCAGGGCTTGAAGACCTATCAGCCTGGTTCCAAGCATTGTTATCTGATCAGTCCACACCTCCTCCCAGAAGCCCACCAGGCCTGAATTTATATTCCTGACACCTACTTAGGTTGGGAATGAAATGACAGCCCTGGGGGTAGAAGCTGGGAACCAGGGCCACACTCGCTCACACTCCCCTTCCCTGTGGGTGGACATTTTCTGTCATTCACAATCAGCTGGTGGGCCCAGTGGGGAAATGACACTGAAGCAACTGAAAAGTGAGAAGAAAACTACAAGAGGAGTTGGATCCTTGGGTCCCGGCAGAAAGGGACACATTACAACAGAAACACTTCTCTATTTTCTGCCAGGCACAGTGACAGAAGAGGCAGGCACATGAGGGAAGCGCGTGGGTGACCGAGCACCTAACCTGGCCAGCCTTCACAGCCACAATCTCATTTAATCTCCACAGCAACCCCGTGAGGTGGTGACTAGTGTGCATTTTATGGACCACGCAACTGAGGCCCATTAAAGTTAAACAAGGTGCACAGAGTTGAACAGCTGGGAAAGATTTAGCTGGGTCTGCCTGGCCCGAAGTATCCAGGTTCCTCTTGGCAGCCACACTTAGGGTAACAGTGATGCCGCTGGAGTAACAGGTAACATGCGACCTGCACCTGCCAAGGCTGGGCTCCTCCCCAGGGCTACAGTCTAATAACACTTCCACCCACTGGCATAAGAAAATAGGCAGAGCTGGGATTCCAGGAGGAAAGGGATTGGAGAGGGAGGAAAGAGGGAGACAGAAAAGGAAGAGGAGAAAGAACAGAAAGGAATTAGGGAGACGGGGAATTCAAAGCCCTGCTTCTGGAGCGAATGGTGCAGCGAGTGAGAAGCAGCTGGAAGCTACAGCAAATTACATCTCAAGTCACTGCCTGCTTGCAGAACAACAAAACAGACCTATTTACCAGCCACAGGAGTGGCTGCCTTACTTTCTCCTTCCTCCAGGGGCTCAGAGATGGGAAAGCTCAGGAGAGAAACACAAGCTGTGGAGAGGTTTCCCACACGATGGGGAGACCAGGCTGGGCTTGCGGGGAGGAGGCAGCCCAGTGCGGAGCTAGGTCAGGTTCGATCCGACCCAGGCAGAACCTACAAATGTTGGCTGCTGTGATGAGGCCGTGACACAGTCAAACAGGCATGAGTCACCCTTCTCTAGATGTTCCCCGTGTCCTCCTGGGGCACCCAGAGCCGCCTTTGTGGCACGCCTGTGCATGGGAGCACTTGGGTCAGACCAAGGTGGGGGCCTTGGGGGAGGGTGGCCAGACCCTGGCCAACACTGATGGGCAGGGCAAGCCCCATATCCAAGGAGTTGCTCCTAACTCCACCCAGAACAGAGGGAAAAATAACCCCAGTGATGAGAGGAGGAAAGGAAGGCAAGAGTAAGCAGTACAAAGGGATGGGAGGGACCTTCTTGTTCTGTTGCTCAGAGGAAGTCAGGAGGG